CCCTCTCTCCCCTATCCCCCCTTCCCCTCCCCTTTTTCCTCTCTCTCTCTCTCTCTCTCTCTTCCCAGGCGTGGCCTCTTGTCCGGGTCCGACTGTCCACTGCTACCGTTCCCCGCAGGCCATAATGGGCAGCTGGACGTACTGTTGCACCGGACCGGAGTACTACGACACGGAGATGGACCGCGAGTTCCTGCTCGAGCTGCGCGAGCTGAGGATCCTGCTGGACAAGGAGAAGGAGCACAAGCAGTCCGTGGGCAGACCCGTGCGCGGTCCGATCGCCCCGGGACCGCGTCACACGATATATTGCGCTCGATTTCGTTTTAGTTGATCGATCGCGTTCTCGCGGCGGCCGGACCGTTATGTACGAGTAGATTGGGGGGAATCGTGACGCTTGCCAATTCCAAGACAAATTTTCAGAGGTTTTCCTTAGGGTGATGCCAATAAAATTGAGATTAAAATGAAATTAAATTTTTGTATACGATGCGTTATTTTAGATAGTTGATTGAAAAATATACACAAAAACTTAAAAAACTCGGGTCACGTATGGGGACAATAGTTTTTCGATAGGGCTGGCACTGTTTAGTTGTTAGGTAGGTACTTTACTTTTAAGTAATTAACTTTTCAATAGCTTTAATCAATGACAAAACTCTGATGACTAAATTAAACTATTCATAAACACTAAATTAAAGTGGTTTTCAATTCAACAAATTTAAATCTCACAAAAGCATTGTGACAACCCAGATTAGTCTTTATTCTACCCCTAGTCCATATTCCCCCCAATCTACGGTAATATACCTAATTTTTATATGTATGTATGTTATGAAACAGGCAACGTTGCTGATGCCTTCGGGCGACGGTCACCGCTCTCTTGTATGATTGTTCTGTCCCCCATGACAATTAAAAACTTAGAAAAAACTTCAGATATGCTCCTGTCTGTCGCAAATTTTAAGAAAGACGGCGACTTGTTGATTTTACTGGGAAATGCACGGGTTGGTACTACCGTGTGACCCCCTTTCTACTTTATATAGTGAATGCGAAAGTTTGTTAGGATGTATGTCTGTTGCGATGCCACGGACAATTACGGACTGTGATAGCTTTACAGCTGGTGGGAGGGGGCTCCAGGTGGGGGTACCGTCTTAGGGTCTGCTCTCAACATCTGCAGACCCTCAAGTCCCATATACCCCGCGCGCCTCCAGACGTAAATGTCTCGAATGAGGTTTGGCAAGCTGCCCAAAAAAAAAAAGAAGGGAGTCATCACCGGGCGACACCCGGGGACTAGCGCCTTACTAACCCATTTATTTTCAGTTTGATATGCATGAAGTTAAAGCCTAAATTGCTGGAGAAGTCGTATCAGGAGTTGGAGTTGAACTTCAGGTGGGCGGCATTTAATTTAATGTTAATTTGATATTGTAAAGTCGCGTTGGACTTTTGGATTATGGGGCAATTCTGTGGCCTGGGAACTGGTCGAAGATTGTTACCAGCCGACGTCCACAGACTCAACAGATATGAGATCGAACTCTCACTTGTATAGTCAAGGTTGGTCATAAACTGGAACATATTACTGTTTTGTGGTGGAAATAGGCAGAGTGGTGGTGTATTCCTGTGTGGGTTCACAAGTCTGCCTACCACCAGCACACTGACTGTACCATCACAAATCGTCTCCTCGCATCAAAACCGTATAATCTCAAAACTTACCAATTTTACAGGAGAGTGTTTTAAAGGTTTAAAACATGTAATATTTTTAATATTAATCATCTTTGCAACATTTTTTTTTAATTTTTTACCATTTACATTATCTGTCTTTTAAAAGTAAGATAAAATTATGTATTAATTTTATTAATAGTACTCAAAATATAGGTAAACAAAAAAAAAACTAAAACTAAACTACGCTTTTTTGACAGTATTTATGAGAAAAATACTAGTGATACCAAATGTTTACGCATATTAACTCAATTTGGAATATTTTTGGAAATTGTACACCCCCTCCCCAGCATGCGAGTGCCGTTGTCTTCCAGGTTGACTTTTTGGCGGGAACGCGTGGAGTGAAGTTGTGTGATTTGTTTTATTTTGTCTATTTAGTGTTTCTTAAGGTTTAAATGTGTAATAACGGTGGTTTATTAACTGTTTAATATCTGTGAAAGTGCACAAACGTGGGAAAATGAAACTAAGCCGCTGGACGTAACTTATCGGGATCCTCCAAAAGGTCCTCTGCAAAAATCTCAGTAAATGACCATCATTTTACTGAGATTATATTTCATCCCACATCATCATCTCATTTCATTTCACTCCATATAATTATTTTTCATAAAATTAAGAATATAAATTAAAATAAGACTTGACCTAAAAGTCTTAGTACCAGGTCATAAAATTCTTTAAAAAACAAAATGTTCCAGGCTGTACACGCGCGCGCTGGTGGGGCTCGCCTGCAACCTCCACCGCGGCCGGGAGCTCCGATCTCTCTTCATTGACCTCTTAGAAAGGTAACATACACAATAAAACAACATGTATAAACTGTTTCTTTTTTTAATATGGCAATATGGTTTTTCCCCGGCCAATGTTGCCAGTACCGAGTTTGTATAGTCTTCAATTAATTGTAATGATTATAAATTTGGATTTATTTTTTTCAATTAAAAATGTTATATAAATATGGACCTGCGATCGGACTGAGATTGAATAACCGGGTCGAAAACTCCGGGGCCACACAATAGAGACTTTGGAAAAAAAATCTCTCAAATTCCGACAAGTAAGCTTCAGTAAAAATCTTTTCCTGTATGTTTGTTAACTTCCAACTTACGTGGTTTCATAATAAATTATTTATTGGAAAACTCGACTGAAAAATATCGTTCATTTTATTTTGAAAAATAATTTAGGGCCAGAGGGCCTCCAGACCTCTAAACCCGGCGCTGTTCATCTGAAATTACAATAATTGCAAAGAAATTTAATAGTGTCCTAGTAAAATGGTCGAAATTTACAGGATATCTTCTTCTGGAAATATTAATTTCTCGTCACCTGTACACTACACGACGCAAGTGAGGGGCGACTTTTTGACGGGAACGCGAGAAGTGAAGCTGTGTGATTTGTTTTATTTTGTCTATTTAGTTTTTCTTCAGGTTTAAATGTGTAACTGTTTAATATCTGTGAAAGTGCAAAGTGGGAAAATGAAACAAAGCCGCTGGACGTAACTTCTCGGGATCCTCCAAAAAGTCAACTGAAAAAATCTCAGTAAATAACCACCATTTTACTGAGATTATATGCCATCCCATATCATCTCATTTCATTTCATTACATCCTATTTCATCTTCATTTAATTTGATTTCACTCCATATAATTATTTTTCATAAAAATAAGAATATGAATTAAAATAATACATGGCTTAAAGGTCTTAGTTACCAGGTCATAAAATCCCTTTAAAAATCGTGAGGGACGACTCCGTACCTAGACAACCGGTCCCCCCTCGGTCCCCCGTAATGCCGCGTGCGGTCTGCAGGTGCGTGGAGCCCCTGCGGCTAGGCGGGTGGCCTCGCACGGACCTGGCGCAGTTCCTGTCGGCCTACGAGCATTGCGCGCTCCAGATGGACGTACTCAGGTCAGGGAGTCAGGGTTATCTTTACTAGTGTAAACGTTTGGCGAGCACTATGACTGAAATATACGAAATGTACGATATAAATTTGTTTATATTGGTGAGAACCTTTAATTGGCTCTTTGTTCCAATTATTTTTTACATTATTATATTCTATGTTTATTGGCTGTTGGTTCTCCTTGTAGCAAATAAATAAAAACTGGAGATCAAATCAGAAGTCAAAGTACTTTACTTTTTTGTATTTGTTAGATTAAGGACGATTTAGAAAGAGGTGACCCCGCCTATTTGTATTTAGCGATAAATCGGTGTTCGAATCCCGCAGGCGGGTACCAATTTGTCTAATGAAATACGTACTTAAGAAATGTTCACGATTGACTTCCACGGTGAAGGAATAACATCGTGTAATAAAAATGAAACACGCAAAAATGTAATTTGCGTAATTACTGATGGTAGAACGTCTTGTGAGTCCGCGCGGATAGGTACCACCGCCCTGCCTATTTCTGCTGTGAAGCAGTAATGCGTTTCGGTTTGAAGGGTGGGGCAGCCGTTGTAACTATACCTTACAACTTTTATCTCAAGATGGGTGGCGCATTTACGTTGTAGATGTCTATGGGTTCAGGTAACCACTTAACACCAGGTGGGCTGTGAGCTCGTTCAACCATTTAAGCAATAAATTTTGGGCGCTGCAGGCCTAAAGGGGGACGGTAGAAAGGCTTGGGAGGCAATTTGTAATTTTATCTAGGAGGACATATTTAGTCTTGTCACTTGTCTTTGATTAGACACCGACTGAACTCTCGCTATTGTGGTTTTTAAGTAAGCGAAAAAATGGGGGCGCTAAAATATAATTTATTCTTAAAGTGGGCAGTAGACAAAATGTAATAGAAATAGACCATCGAATTCAAAGTCCATCTATTTTTAAGTGATTACCGGAGCTCGATTCCGGTAACATTAAGGGGGCCGTGAGCTCGTTCAACCTTATAAGCAATTAATAAATAAAACATGATAGGAATAGGAATAGGATACAATACTGTGGCAATAGACCTGTGGAGACTTACAAGACGTCCAATCATCAGTATGCCTTTTATAAACCCCTGACTTTCATTTTTTTCTTTTTGCAGGGAAGCCGACTTAAAAAACGTCTGGGAACGATACATGCGCGTCATAAGTCAATGCTTACTGACCATGTACCATATCTAGAATCGTGTGTTTAATATAGATCAACATTGTATCAGTCATTGTGTATTCTTTGTATAGAAATAAAGTTTTATTCGTCGTTACTTTGGGTTTTAATTCTTAGCCAATAGATGGCACTGTCAAATCTCAATTGAACGTCAAGGTGACGTAAAATAACTTTAAATCATGGAGGTATGGAGCGTAGAGGTAAAGAGAATCACCTTATATGGGAGAAGCTTGGAAAAGTGTCCCACTTTCAGCACTAAATAACAGTTCAAAAATCCTCCAGAATGACGCTAGCATAGGCACGGTATGATATAAATTGCGCAGTTGTTAACTGATTGAAGTATGCTGAGTTAGGAAATTTAATATATTTAATGACTAGAGTAGTTAGTGACAGTGTAATATACAAGACATCACATACTTACGTAGCCCAAACTAATTTCGTCAATATAACCAAAAATTATCGCTGTGGTAAAACATGGAGACATCGATTGCATTTTCTTATCAGCTTTAAATAAAATCATTTTTGTGATTATGTAGTGCTTACAGTTCTTTCGTTCTTTTTTATCTCTTTATCTTATTCTAATAACTTTCAGCGCCTTTTTTTAAATTTACCCGGTTGCTACTGTACCCTTATTTAGCAGATTTTAACGGACACTTTTTACACTGTATATGTGTAAAAGTGTCCGTTGAAAGGGAGCCAATTAAGATGGCGCCACAGTAGCAAGTGGAAAGATTTTAAAAACAGCGCATAAAACTGCCACACTTCACTTCAACCCGACAGACTTCACTCTGCTTAAAACTGCTATATTCATATCATTTCTACTTCATACACTAGCGCTATCTCGGTGAGTCTTCCAATAACAACTTGCTATTTACAGGTGGACACTTTTTCAACTTGTCCTCCATACAAGATCATAGATAATACACATAATTAGTTATAGATAAGCAACTCAAGCAATCAACAAAAATATTTACGGGCGTCATCCACTAGATGGCTTCGCTTCGGTTAGTTTCTCATTGCTTCTGTAGATGGCAGCAACATATTACCTATACTGTATTTTATTTTTAATGAATTTTTTTTTAAATTTTCAGAAACCACAATTATATCTAGATTATCTATCTAATTTATGGACAAATTTGTCTATAAAAAATTAAGCCTTGTATGATTTATTATTATTTTTATTTTATGTCTAGTTATAACTAGTCAGGTCATAAGTATTGTCACACAGTAAAAACTTTTCTTTTAGAATGCTGGCCACAAAAAAGTTTATTGAATTCGAATTTCGAATTGTTCATGAAAGTAAAAATGTATACTTTTAGAATTTTACTCATTTTTAAATATGGAGTGGACGCTTAAAGAAGACCGTGTTGCAGTTATTGCGTTGCATCGTTGCGGTTACGCGCCAATTCGAATTTTTAACATACTGAAAAATTTGAATATAACCAAAAGATTCGTTTATCGTACCATCAAACGATACAATGAAGACTCTAGTGTAGATGACAGGTCAAGAAGTGGTCGCCCTCGGTCTGTTAGGACTCCAGCAGTGATAAAAGCTGTGAAGGCGCGAATTCAAAGAAATCCCAAACGTAAGCAGAAACTGTTGGCCCTTCAGATGGGGTTAAGCAGAACCACGGTGAAAAGGGTGTTAAATGAAGACTTAGGGCTTCGGGCATATCGAAGAAAAACAGGACATCGTTTGAATGCTCGTCTAATGGACCTGAGACTGAAGAGATGCCGCGCTTTGTTGAAGCGGTACGCGGGAAAAAAATATCGGGAAATTCTTTTTTCGGATGAAAAAATTTTTACCGTAGAAGAGAGCTACAACAAACAAAATGATAAGGTGTACGCACACAGTAGTGAAGAAGCGAGCAACCGTATTCCGCGTGTCCAACGAGGTCATTTTCCATCCTCGCTCATGGTATGGTTGGGAGTTTCTTATTGGGGCTTAACAGAGGTACATTTTTGTGAGAAAGGTGTAAAAACGAATGCAGTTGTGTATCAAAATACAGTCCTGACGAACCTTGTGGAACCTGTTTCTCATACCATGTTCAATAACAGGCACTGGGTATTCCAACAAGATTCGGCGCCAGCTCATAGAGCGAAGAGCACACAAGACTGGCTGGCGGCGCGTGAAATCGACTTCATCCGGCACGAAGACTGGCCCTCCTCCAGTCCAGATTTGAATCCGTTAGATTACAAGATATGGCAACACTTGGAGGAAAAGGCGTGCTCAAAGCCTCATCCCAATTTGGAGTCACTCAAGACATCCTTGATTAAGGCAGCCGCCGATATTGACATGGACCTCGTTCGTGCTGCGATAGACGACTGGCCGCGCAGATTGAAGGCCTGTATTCAAAATCATGGAGGTCATTTTGAATAAACTTTAGTGTCATAAGAATCTATGTTTTGTTAAGTTCATTTTGGTATATGAATGGTTACATAATGAATAAACTTGTTTCAATTATTTTACATTAAACATGTGACAGAATTTATGACCTGACTAGGTGCAATTATTAAATACCTTAACTTTAACAACAAATAAGTTTAGGGGCATCCGCTACAAGATGTCGCTAGTTTCCATACAAAAAAATATTTATTATAAAGTATCGCAGTTTCAAGGCCCTGTACAAGATTATACTCCTTACTTCTATCTCCATACTCTAACAGCCCGACTAATGTGGTCAGTAACAATCGACGTATCGACGCACTTTCTTCAGCCATTGAAGAAGACGTAGGCACCGGCTTAAAGAGCGAAATAGCCGTTAGGAAATTGGTCTTCCTCCAAGACTACGTATTGCTAGCGATATTGAGGGGTTATGCTGACTTCATCGGACGTGTAGGTGCGCTCACGGTGTTCAGGTTAAAGGTTTTGCTGACAATAGGCCTGGTAAGAGTAGTGCTTCGGAGAACCTACCATTTATTGGCAAAGCAGCTGTTCTTGAGTTGTTAGGCTACCTTCAGAAGTACTCTGGTAGCTGTTAGCAAGTCCCAACCCTTCTGGCCGAGCCTTTGCTCGCTCACCGGTCCTGGTGAAACTGGAAAGGTCTCCAGGCCACCAGTGATCCTTCAATTATAAAGAAAAATCTACCACCGGATCGGAATCGCGACCCACTGAGCAGTATATGCGTGTATAAGGTGTATATATAGTATATGTAGTAAGTGTATTTCAAAAATGTCACTAGCGAGATTCAGACTACTGTCAAATATCTTGTCTGTTATAATGGCTACCGTCAATCTTGGAAGCTTTGACCCGTGGGCAACACCAAATTCAATGATATAATTGAAAACTGAAAACACACTTGAACAGCAAATCGAATTGTTTTACTTACAAAGCTAATATAAGCGTGTTAAAATGAAACAAAGAAACGTCAACCGCATACAGAAAAGAAGTTATTGCAAATAATAAAAAAAGAAATTGGTAATGAACTAGAAAAAAAAACACCATCATCAGAAACATGATTTTTATTTAATTACTAAACAATTTACAAACTTTTTTACAACATAATAATTAAATATCACATTCATTTTTTAATTTATGAATTAGATAAAAAAAATCATCGCTCATTAAATACGTTAAAGTAAAAAATCAAGCGAGTGCATTTGAACTTAACAAGTTCATAAAGTGAAACTGCAACATATACAATTGCAACTGTATTTAAATGGAGAAAAGTTTTATAGAAAACAGCGCCATCTACCGTTCAGGGATCTCAGTTAAAGCCGGCACTTTTATGAATAATTTTTCTTAATAATTTTAGTCGAAGGATAGAAATATTCAGTTGTCACTTCAAATCCGGTCATCTTCACAAACTTGTATAATAAAAATTTACAACTACATAAATATTTTCTAACTAAACTATAACATGCGTTCTTTGCACATTTGCAAAACAAAACATAAAGAGTAGTACATAATTTTTTACATAATTTTTGGTAAACGTAAACATTTGTTACATACGATTTATTATAATCACAAATAAATATTGGAACATCGATTACGAGAAATTTCAGTCAATATTTATTAAGATGTGACGTAGAAGCAGTCGGATGTTCAGTTGAAGACTCGGGTAATTACGTGCCTTGAAGCAGTAATGCGTTTCGGTAAGGGTGGGGCAGCCGTTTTAACTATACTCGAAATAAAAAAAAGCCTGCAGAACTAGCATCAACGCGAAGGGTTTTGGAGTTAGGTAGTTGGTAGGAATACGCGAGAATACTCATAATATAACAGAGGTTGTATGCACAGGAAAAGAGTTGTCCCGATTGAAGCACAAAGTTATTGGGAATGAGAAATAAGGGCCTTTTTTTCTTACAATAAATTTAAAAATGGATACTTGTATAGGACATGGGAGAAGATTTTAGCAGCGTTCGAAAGAGAACAAGACATTTCTACTGAAATCTATGTTCATATCGTTTATAATAACCGTCTTAGATTGAACAACCGACCGAATTCTGCACCACGTCAATCATTTAAACATTACAGACAAACAATTAAGTCACTAATATAATTAAATGGAATATAAGTACGTATAATTAAAATTACTGTTTTTTTTTCGTTCGAGAAACTCACTTTGAGATGTCGCGCCATATGGGCACTGAATTGGGTAACTACAAATGTTTTAGTCATTCTGGAGACGTCAGCAATGATTATCACCGTTGATCTACTCAATGAGCGAATGGCTCATCAGCAGCCTCAAACAAAAACAGACTCTGAGCGAGTTTAGCCACTATCAGCATCACTACTGAAGGAACTATTAAATAGGATTTTTGAGTTATATCACTTTTGTTTTTGTTCTAAGCATATCTCTCACTAATTAATTTGCAGTCTATTCGAATAATTAACAGCAGCATAGCGAATTTAGAATAAAAATGGTATATTGTGCTTGTATTGAAAAAAATTAAAACAGCGCCACCTATTGTTCACTTAAAACTCACATCACTTTTTAACCGCCATATAACGATCAGTCTTTGCAACTCCGCCCATTCTCTTAAAAACACCGCCACCTAGTTGGGTATGGTGACATCAGTCCGAACTTTTTATGTAACAACGCCATCTATCGATTTAATCCGACAGCTGCACGGCCCCAGTCAGTTGGGATACCTCTCATATGTCGACCTCGCATATTTTTCGTTTCTGGGGCAGACCGCAGTTGTCCTTCTTTATGACCTCAATCTTGAGACGTTGGTACGTTTCGAACCTTGACAGCGCGTATTCCTGCGAACATACAAATAAGTTTTGTTCAAAGTCGATTCAATATTCTTTTTAATGCGTACTAGACGTGATCCACGGTTTTTATCTATCGTATCTATCTTTTAGCTCATAGATGTCCACTGCTGGATATAGGCCTCAACTTTGACAAGGGTCAAATTTGCGACTCAGAGAGAATGTTCCAAGTTGTAAGGACAAAGAATCGCTTGTGGGTTTCTTTGGTCCATAAATCACCAGTTTTTTTATAGATCCATTGCTTACACAAAACCAGCGTTAATTAACCTTGCGACAAAATCAAGTCACCAAGGACTATTTCGAAGGAGTTTGGACGCAAAACTCACCCAGTATCCGAAGGGTATCTGACTCTTGGAAGCATTGACAATGGACCAGAGCGTCCAGAACAGGTGACTGGCGAGGGCGAACGCTTCCACCTCGTTCAGCAGATGATTAACGTCATCTATGCTCGGCTCCTGTGGCTCCTCGGAGACGTTCGACGAATAATGTTTTAAGTACTCCTTTATGAATATTTCCTGAAAACAAACATATCCTATTAAGGCTCGGCATGAATCAGTCTTGTCCCTTAATTAGAACTCTGTTCGTACTATCTTTGCCTTAACTCTAACTTCACTCTCCGACTAACTCCTATACTGACCAAGAACACGGCATTAAGGACACAAGAAAACTGAAAATTTCAGAACTGACCCAATATCAATTTGAGACATAAAAACATAATGGTGTCCATAGCTTTCCCGTAATTTTGTTGGTTCGGTTGAGATGGAAAGGTTTTGGGTAATGAAAATTTATTGCAACGCCATCTGTTGTTACATTTGTAAACGTGGGCAATAAATTTTATTGCAGCCCCATCTATTATTGGATCAGAAAAATAGATCTAGAAAACTAGCTATTATAAAATGTAATTACATAATAGCAACAGGGCATGGACCATTTACTATCTGTTTATTAATTTCTCTAAATAACAGTCAGGCGACGGCCATTTTGTCGAACTTGAAAACAGTCCAAACGGATTGACCTCTTCATGTACGACAACTATTTACAAATCTGAGCTCTTCCTTACTTAGATGTAGCGGCACTTATGTTCAGTTTTAACTTGATCTCTGTTTAAAAATACACTACATACAAATTATAGGTCACTGGTTAAATGGATTGTTGATCATGTTGTTTCCATTTGACACATCATTCAGGCTACCTTTGTTATAGAATTTAAAAGCGTATTTCAAGTGGCATTAGGTTAAATATTCATTTGGTAGAATGATCGAAGTGCGAAACAATATGATCATCACAAATTATCCCTTTCTCGCTGATTGTTTTTTGTGTGCGAGCGAACGAGATAGCATTTTTCTGTGAACTTAAACACATTTCAGAGGCACATCAATTTATAAAATCTATAAAAAGTACATTCAAAATACTTTCGATTCCCGTTTTTATTTTTTCCATCGGCTGCCATGTCCGAAGGCAATGAGATCCGGCTTACGTACGGCCCCGTTGTCTATGGACGTCGCGGCTGCTAGAAGAAAGCACACAACACAAAAGCTGCGTAGTGATGGGGTCGTTCTTCCATACACATATACACTTTATTTGTCTCATTGAAATGCTCCTAGCATCTACACGTGTGAGCGAAATCCTTTTGGGTCCACTGTTTAGTACCTTCATTACATCTGCGACTCATAGTTGTGAGTCGGGCGGCCCATCATATTTTATGATAAAAAAAATTATTCCCTACCTATGCTGATAGCCTTATCCTTGACGTGTAGGTGAGCTCACGGGGTTCAAACCGGGAGTGTTGCTAACACTGGCCCTAGCAAGAGCAGTGCTTCGCAGAATCTACCACCGGATCGGAAACGCGACCCACTGAGAAGATCCGGCGAGAAACTCAGTGGGCTGTGTCTATGGGTTAGTTCACTCGTCGAGCCCTTCATCGCAAGCGACGGGTTCGATGAGGACGGTGACCGGTGCTTGTGGTACCTAAAAGCACCGTTAATGGATCAGGAGGATCCGTAATGACGTGTTTCGGGCGACGTCGACTGTTTACCATTACGGTCTACAGGATCGGGTATGTATGATAATAGTATTTATTATCAACTACTAAATTAAGCTTCCTATCAGTGTTAAAATTAAACTCAATTAGACGAACGCATTAATAGACAAACAAACAAACAAATGTATCTATTGAACAAAAGCGTTTGGGAATCGTGCACGAAAACGTTCAATTTGCAATTAAAACAGCTATTTTATAACTGCGCAATGTATCGTAAAATGTTAATTGGACGATTTACATTGCGTGTTCTCGATTTTATCGTGCGCTACACCTTCAGTTTTTGTTAAAGCTTGTTACCAACGGTTCAGAAGCGATTCCCTTGCGCCCTGCATCACGAGACACGTGTATCACATTTTAAAACCACCAAAATATTATTGAATGCATACCCTCATAAATGTAGTCTTAAACAATTTATCAAAACCAACTCTAAGAGCACACGGTTATGTTACATAAGCACACACAGGTTCTTACTGGTGGTAGGATCTCTTCCGAGTCCACGCGGGTATATACCACCACCCCACCTATTTTTGCCGTGAAGCAGTAATGCGTTTCGGCTTGAAGGGTGGGGCAGCTGCTGTAACTATACTGAGACCTTAGAACTTATATCTCGAGGTGGGTGGCGGCATTTACGTTGTAGATGTCTATGGACTCCAGTAACCACTTAACAACAGGTGGGCTGTGAGCTCATCCACCCATCTAAGCAATAACAAAAAAATAAAAAATAAACAGACATGAGGTCGCATTCTCGATTAAGTACAACCACTGCCCTACCACTCCTCGGAGCTACTCTATATTTGCTTCGCGACACAGACATGCAGGACGCGCGTACCGACCCACACTTGCCACATTAGACACTAAATCTACAAATCGTTTCCAACCGTGAGCCAAGTCTGTTGCTTATTTAATTGATTTTAGAAATTTAACTGGTAAAGGGTTCGGAGTCACAACAATCTTGATTTACCGAACATTAAATACGAAATATTTTACTATGTTAGCAGTCGCCTGTTTGCTATAGATGTCAGTGTACGACGATCCCTTTTTGCAAAACTACCCTCCTCAATATATACATATTGCAGCGTCATCTATTAATCAGGGACAAAACAACTTCTATGGCCTTTTCGTGTATTTTTTTATGATTTATTGTTATTATTGGCGCACTATTAAATTCGATGTGCAATTTCAAAGAAAAACACGCAGTCGATCCAGTGCGCGATAGAGACTCATGCTAACTAGTTAAGCAATAGTCAACACTGGCGCGCAGATAGCGTTTTAAGACTTTCAAAACCGGCTTAATAGAAAACATTTTACTAGCGTTACATTGGATGCAATCTATAGCAAAGTTATCGAGGAGGTCGACGACCTCTGTGTGAACTTAACATTACATTGCGTTTTTTTCCCAAAACATTTTAACATTAAAGCCTATCAAAATTAATATTATCGAGAGTGAGAAATAATTTGACTTTAAGAAAACAGTCACTTCATAAAGAAAATGGTCAATGGATATAGCGCCGACAAATTCTTTACAAGCATAGACCAAACGTTCACACTTCCATATAAATATAAAACCTTCGGTAGCTTTCGCGGGCAAAGTAGACCAGGATCTCGTCTCACCTTTTGCTCCAAGGTCGGGCAGTCGTCCTGGCACTCGTGGTAGAACGGATGCGCGTCGTTCGTGTAGTCGTAGGCCCATTCCTGGAAGTGGTTCGCTATGTCGAAGCCCCTGTGGTTGTAAGCGCAGTACTCGAAGTCGATGAGGAAGAGCTTCGGCTCGCCGCTGTCCGAGATGTGGCTGGAGATGCTGTCGGACGAGATCTCGTCGAGGTGGTAGTTCTCCTTGCTCGATTTGTGGTGCTCCACGTCGTAAGCTTGAAAGATCGTGGTCATTTCGTCGTCGGCGTTGGCAGAGTCCTCCAGCATTAGAATGTTGCCTGAGTTCGAAAATGAGTATTTAATGGCTTGTCTATGATCGGTGTCAAGGATTAAGGAGTGGCTCTTTTCAGGCATGGACGTGTCGTGGCTATCACGAATCATCTTTGAGTTCATTTCAGAGCTGAGTGGTTGGAGCCTGTTTCTGGTAGGTTTTGGAGTCTGTTTGGGATACGTTAATCGATGGTAGGACGCATTGGAAGCATCCTCTCATAGATACACAACACCTTCTTGCCTATTCTTGAAGCGAAATAAGGCCTGTTGGGTACATCATGGTCTATGATCATGTTCTAATTTTCTAACAAGATCTTGGACACTCTGCGCTATGATTTTACAAATACCTCAAGACCTATATTCGTTTAACATTTAAAATTTTATTTCGTTATCGAATCAAAATGAACAATCATCTCGTCAATGAATAATATTAAAAAAAGTTGAACAGACAAGGAAATCGTACTGTCTTTGCTTGTTATTGTTATTGACTGCTGAAATATACGTTGTTGGTTCACACTAGACATATAAACACGTCCATTATATAGTTATATATGTATGTGTATTATTATATATTAGTTGCCGGCGCACCTTCCTGCATGTCGTTGTGACAAAAGACGACAGGTGACTCGACCGTAGCCAGGAACTTCTTCAGCCAATCAATCTCCTTGTTGAAATCGATCGACTTCAATTGCTTTATGATACGCTGTTCTTCTTCGTTCTGTAAAAAAAACACACATATTAATACTGTGACACCGAGAGCCATCTATTGGCCGAGGGCACAAACAAACAAACAAGTTCCATTTTGAATTTTCAATAATTTTTTATTTATTGCTTTTACGAGCTAATTGGCTAGTTACTGGACCCCTAGACATCGACAAGGTTTTTGTTTTTATAGAGCAACAGCTGCCCCGTCCTTCAATCTGAAACGCATTACTGCTTCACGGCAGAAATAGACAGAGCCGTGGTACCCACCTGTGCGGACTCACAGCACGTCCTACCAACCAGTACATGACGGTCTATAATCATGTTCATTCATCCTAACAGGATCTTGCATAACCTGTACTGCTTTTTTTCCTACAAACGAAATTTGACCATAATGACTGGTACCTCAAGCCCTATATTCGTTTAACAGAGTCATCGAACTGTTACAGAGTCCCTCTCCGAGGTCGTTTTAAAAAAGAAATTAAATTAATTAAAATAAAGTTTATCGAGTTATTTATGTATTACAAGGAGGAAGGGACTCTTAGGCAACTGATTAAAACAAAAGCTGAGAATAGACTGATTGAAACACGGACTACGTTAGGCAGTGGCTTGGCTCTGCCCCTGGCATTGCTGGAGTCCATGGGCGATGGTAACCGTTAACAAAGACAAAAAAGTCGTGACTTCACTCATAAAACTGCTGAATAAATATCGAAATCTATGACCTAAGGTTGTGTCATCTAATTAGGGTTCAGTAGACGGTTCTGATTGAACGAACCCAGGGGTTACAGGTCGCGTTTACCTTCCCGATGGTGTTCAGCCTCTCGTCCTTGCAGATCTTCAGCCACTTCCACATCGTCTTCCACAACCAGTTCGGTTCTTTTGAGAGAGGGATGTCCATCGAGTGTATGGCGGCCATCTTCTCCGCTATCTTCATAGAGAGGGCAGGCTCGGCTAGTTCCCGGGTCAAGAGAGGTCTGGCCTGAGAATGATTCGCAAATCAGCAGCCGCGATGCCATTACAACTTTTAACGAATCAAAGCTTTTTACTACCGACAGCAAAAAAACAGTTTTTTTTTAATGCTTTGATGGGTGGACGACGTCAAGGCCCACCTGGTGTTAAGTGGTTACCGGAGCCCATAGACATGTACATCGTAAATGCGCCACCCACCTTGAGATATGAGTTCTATGGTCTCAAGTATACTGACAACGGCTGCCCCGCCCTTCCAACCGAAACGCATTGCTGCTTCACGGCAGAAATAGGACGGGCGGTGTTACCTATCCGTGCAGACTCACACGAGGTCCTACCACCAGTAAAAGAACAACAAGTTCAAGCAACTACTATAACTATACTATATATTTTATACTATAACATCGAGAGGTGAAAAGGTGATTGGATTAAACGACCTTTATCTTTGTAATTAACGGTCCGTTTCATTTTGTATCAGCATCAACAGTTCGATGTTTTTAATTGAAGTTCAATAAAGGTTAATCCGTTCAAATACCTAAAGAGTTTTTTTTTATGATCTTTTTTTCTTAATTTTAATCTTTTTAATGGCTCTTCTGTATAGTTGCAAAAATGTCGCTTAACCCAACTAGCTTTTCACCCGTCGAATATTAAATTAATTTTTCTCCTACCTACGCCGAAAGTTCGGTTTTCCTCCCGCTGTACAGGGAAGAAAGTCTAACTTTTCCTCCCTGGGTACAAGTGCGCATGCGCGTTAGTGTCTACGTCTGCTCTCACGCATCTAAAATTCTCCGTCATTGTTGTGCTCGGGTAATTTGCAATATAGTGTTTAGTGTAAAAGTGAAATAAACAAAAGGCAATAAAATTTAATACTGAAGTATTAAACAAAGATGAGTTCATCCAGACAGTTCTTATTCAATTAGTAGTAGTTTATTTAAAAATTAAAAAACAGTTAAATATTTTTATGAATATGAGGGGGCTCCGCCCCCCCTTCCCCCCCTGCCAGGGCTTCGCCCCTGGACCCCGGCTCGGTACTCCACGAACTTTCGGCCTGGTAGGAGAAAAAATTTTATGCGCACCGCGGGAAAAAAGTATGTCATCTCATCACGCGTGCATACACGTGTGCACACACAATGTACTATTCCTTCAAAGATTATTATTCTCGGCTCAGTTCTCATTGGTTCGGGAAGAGATCTGTTCTCGCCAAGCCAAGCCTAATTCAAGTTCACACATCATAATCGAAACTAGATTTTATAATGTCTAATCATGCTTTATTATTTGCAATTTAATTTATAATCGTATTAATTTATATTTAAATTTAACATATTTTTGTGCTATCTGTACAAATCGAGTAACACGGGCATAAAAGGTCATATAACATAAAAAATAATGACGACTTTTGTTTTTGACGACATTATCCAAAAAAATATTTTAATTATAAGTATCTCAAATTCGGGTTATTTGGGTCTCCGCGCGATAAGCCCGATAAAGATGGGCCTTTAATTAATAACATTTCCTTTTTTATTTATTAATTAGCCAATGTAGACACACGGCCAAGTCGCTCGCTATCCACTGACGAAGATGGCACGTTCAAAGAATTAATTAAGACCACAAAAATATCTAGAAATGATGTTTTACTTAATCATATTGCTCAAAAGTCGATGGTACGAAATAACTATATCAACATACGACCTTTCATCCTGGACGCCAAACCTTTTGACTAATCCCATGGACTTTAAAAGATGAAGTATCAATGGAATCGGCGTCCTTTGCGGTTAAAACAGAAATGAGGGTAATTCGCGATTACGCTTTACATTGCGCGGGCGTCAACATCCGCCTAGCGATTGGACCAAAAGTGGCTTACACTCTTTCCCTCCAAACTTAAGCTATTCCCATGCCGAATTTCGTCAAAATCGTTTTTATTTCGTTTCCTACCTATTCTAGTAACCTCGAGGGGTTATACTACATTCGCAGAACGAGTAGGTGAGCTCACGAGGCTCAAACCTGACGTCGTTGCGTTGAAGAGCAGTGCTTCACACAATCTACCATCGGATCGGAAACGCGACAAAGTTCTCGCGACCGGCGAGAAACTCAGTGGGCTGTGTCTGTGGATTAATATACTCGCCGAGCCCTTCGTCGCCAGCGACGAGTTCGACGAGAACGATGAGCGGGGCTTGAGGTACCTAAAAGGACCGTTAGTGGAAAGGGGGGAGAAATCGGTGCACAAACAGACAGATTAGTTACTTTCGTCTTTGTTATCACTTGCTGTTGTAACAGGATAAAATTAACTCTTAAAAATCATCGAAATGAATTATAACTTTTGATGAATTCGATTTTCATGAAACAAATCCAATATTCTACTCCAACTAATGCCCGTCTGCGTGTGGAAACTATATGAATGTGCCTACAGTAGTTACTGCGATGAGTACGAATAAACAAATAGATAAATAAAAAAAATATTTAAAAAATCACTGGTTTAGATTCTATTGCTTTTCTAGTTACACTCTTCATATTGACGTGTTTATAAATCGATGAACAACGGGCTGCACGCACGAAAAAGTGTCACGTTCCGGCTGAGCCTGAGCGTGCGAGCGAGAGCGCGTAACGAGCGATAGAGACCAACGATCGACCCAAGCGTTAATTTATCGAAAAAAAATTGTATTTTTCAATTAAGCCCTTCTTTGTATTATACAAAATAATGATAACTCAGTGATAATAATTAAATCCAATTCATAAATTCATATGTAATTTTTCATCAATGTTTCTTTATAACGTTATCACGTAAAATTATCGTCCGCAAACCGATTTTATAGAAAACCAATTAATTATTTCATTAGCTTTCTTCAACCCAACACACATATACACACACACTGAATTCCACTGTTTCCAATATACAAAAATCGAAGAGATCGAAGAATCGAGAAAGACAATATATGTAAGAGGGGAGTGAGCAAAGAAATGGTACATGATAGAGGAGTATGGAAGGAGAAAACATGTTGCGCCGACCCCGCATGACTGGGAGAAGGGCAGGAGAATGATGATGATGTGAATTTGGAGAATTTAACGCTTTCCCTGCCGCAAAACAATGGCTAATTATCAATATAACGTTTGTGTTAGTTGTATTGTTGTCTACTTACGTGGATACCGATATTTTTTTTGGTTTTTTTTTTCCTGGAACTCGTAATTTTATTTTTATTTGTAATTTGTAATTTTCTTTTGAATAACCAAAGCTATGTACATTAATACGGGTTTGCTGAATGCACATACCATTTTGATTGCAATCCAGATTAGATCTAGGTACTGCTTGTACGATTTAGCTAATATGTACTGTAATGATTGTAATTCGATTTATGCATACATTAATTTAAAAAAAAACACGTGTGGCACTCAGGGACTGCCGCGATAAAGCTATTGCATATCATTTTTATCGGCTTATGCAATTATAATTAGTCATTAATAACTTAATATTAAAAAAAAAAAAAAATAAGACCACGCTATATTTATAAACATTAACAAAAGCAAAACGTTGACTGTCCCTTTCACACTCATAAGCTAGACCGCGCGCGAGAGAGAGATGGGCAGATTTTCATGATGCGCATGCAGTGCGACGTCACGCCGCGCGCTTATTCACAAACACTACACAAGCGCAACGTGTGAATGTGTTGAACGCGACCTATATGGTAGGCGAAGAGGGGGCGTTAGGTTTTATTTTCGTTACGGAATTTCTTGATTCGGTCGCCGCGCTCAAAAGCTATGCAATAGCTTAAAAAACTCACCGGTATGTACTCTTCGATCCTCCCGCCAGAGAAGACTCCGTGGAGCTTCGGGCCCAGCCTCCTCTCGGAGAGCAAAGTGAATATGACAGATTCCGTCACGATCGCGTCCATGGCCCTCTCGCCGTGGACCTGGCCGTATATCCTGAGCAATACCTGCAGCAGAATTCGTACAGTTTATTCACCATCACACTTGATGATCAAACATGATATCACACTATGGTATAGTGATGGTTTTTTGTTCTTTTCGAAATAAATGAATGATAAAACTGTGATATAAGGCATCGTTTGGTATTTGAAAATCAAAAATTTAAGTGTTCAAATGTTTATAATAATAATGTCAAGTGAGATGTTTATAAACCTTATTACTAGTGCATAGTAAAGGTGAAAGGCTATTTCGTTTAAGCGACATTTTTCAATTTTACAGGAGAGCCATTTAAAGTTCGAAAAAAATATCAGAACAAAAAAACTTTTTCAGCTATTTGAATGCCGTAAAATTAATTGAAGTTCAATTAGAAACATTGAACTGTTGATGCTAATAACAAATAAAACGCACTTTTAATTAGAGTTTAATAAGATAAATGTCGCGTGTTAAGCGAAATGTAGCTTAAACCAAATCGAATTTTTTTTTCTGTCTAAGCTGATGGCCTCGAAGGGGGAATTTCAGCGTAACCCTAAAAAGTAGGTGAGCTCGCAGGGCTCTAACCTGACGTTGCTAACACCAGCCCTACCAAGAGCAGTGGTTCTACTAGAACCTGCCACCGGATCGGAAACGCGACCCACTGAGAAGATCCGGCGAGAAACTCAGTGGGCTGTGTCTGTGGGTTAGTTTACTCGCCGAGCCTTTTCATCGCAAGCGACGTTTTCGACCAGAACGATAACCGGCAAATAACCTTTCACCCCTCGATATGTACCAACATGGATCGTTACATAAATTCATGGATATGGATAACGTCTGTTTTGAATTTAGATATGTTTGGGACTGAGAAAAGGATAAGTTTTAGGAATCACTCCGTGGTTCATTGATGCACTATTCAATTTTCTCCTGGCACCGTGTTTTTAGTTTTTTTACACACTCTCTTCGCGCCATTTTCACACGCGTAGTTTTTATTATAGTGTCAACAGATGGCGTGGATAGGGGATTGAGGAAGGAATAAGGAAAAGGAAGTCCCAACACCGTCTGCGAGAGTCCTACCTTGAACGGATCAACGCATAGATGCGGCAAACAACAAAAGTACCATAA